TCATGGATGTTAAAATCACTCGTCATATTTTCTCCTATCTTAGCTGAGCACTGAATCAGATAAAAAGTCTGAGAAATTCTAAGTAAGGCCCAAACAGGTTTTTAAGCATCAGGCTTTAAAGTAAATGAAAACTCTGTCTGGGTCTTTGTCCTAAAGTGTTGGGGATTTTCTCTGCATTATTGTCTTTATGCAACAATATAAAGCAGTGAGACAACTGCTGTTGTGATTTGGCACAACAAATAAAACCAAATCGAACTGAGTTTCCTAAATGTTGCCAACGAAAGCAAAGGCAGCAGAATTAATGAAAGTTTGACCAAAGTAAAATATATCAAATAAAATCTATGTATAATAAGAATCTCCATTTAGTCTTCCCTACATCCCAATATCTTCAAATATGTTCAATATGTTCAAACAACGGCAGTAAGAAACTGTGCAGAGCATTCTTCTCACTTTGACTTTCTGAATAATGTAGAGTCCTTGAAAAAGTCAAATGTGACATTTCAAAGCTTTCTACAGTACTTCTATATGTCAACAATATACACCACACTTAAGGATCATAGTTTCTAAGTTACAAGTTCAAACAATCATATTTTTCTTAAACCAACAAAGCAGTGAAAATGAACTCAAGGACTGAGAAGCTGACTGATTCTCGAGGTTTGCTCTAACAGCAAATGCGTCCTCATAGACACTCTTGCTTAAAGGCCTCATCCTGTATGTGTTCATATTTGATACAAGTTTTTGGGACCTCTACATGATCACTGTCATTTTTCTTCCCCCTAAAACAAGAAATGAATTGTGAAAAATGCTGTTGGTAACAAATCTGATACAAATTTAAACTCGTATGCACAAAAATATTGAATCTATTTTTTACATTTGTTAAAAGGTTCAATAAACAAATAAATAAAGTTGTTTCCAATGTTGTGGCAGCAAAGTGTCCATGTAAATAAACTGGATTATCTCTAGTTTTATGCACACAGAAAAATATATGAGGGGTTTGTTTTGTACATTAAAACTTCTTTGGAATCTCTTTAAGTGGCAACTTAATGTTAGGAGATACAATGTTACCAAAACATCGATATGGTAATGTACACAGCTGTTATGTTCACTGTTGTGGGCTGACTTTATTCAATGACTTTGAAGGAAACACCTTCCACCCACTCATTGGCTGGTGACTCTGTGTTGGCTCATCAAATTACATGGAAAATGTCCCAAATAAATGAATTTTCATAAATGATTTCCACATTTCAAATGCTGTCATAATACCAGTCTGCAGGTCTTCGTAATCTCTGATGTCACTTCCTGGGTTTTGTTCAATGATGTCATTTAGCTGTGCATCAGTTAGGTACTGGACCTCTCCTTCAGAATGTCGCCTCTCCTTCTCGGCTATGACTATTTCCTGGAGTGCCAGGTAGCTTCTGGGAATCTGGAGGAGACAACAGTGGTACAAATTTATTTTGCTTTCAAGTAAAATAAGAACCCAATGCTATCACTTTAAAAATTGTCATAATATAATATAATATGTTTATTATAAGTGAATAAATAATTAAAACTTCTGCATAGAGTTTGCTGACAAAACACATGGTTATAAAGATTACTATATCAGTTTCCCACTGCTAGGTCATTTAAAATAACTCTTAAAAACACGTATACGTTTATACAGAAAGAAAACACTCTTTTCTGAAGGGTCAAAGTGCAACACTGTCTCTGCATGTACATGATTACATGATTAGCTTGCTTACCAGTCTGCCGAGCAGTTTGCCACCACAGGCTAAGCTGCTGTTATCTTTCATGGAGAGAACCACCTGGTAGATCAGCATCTTTAGACCATCAAATCCCTCCAGAGTTTTACAGGATACTTCACTGAAAAACAAGAACAGCAAGCACGCGTATACAAACACACAAAAGAGATGATCTGTAAGAAGATGACGAATGTTAATAAGCAATAGAAAAGTTAAATGTGTCCTTACTGCAAGTGTTTGTAGGTGATATCAGGGTAACCAGCAGCTCGAGTGCCTGATGGCGATCGACACAGAGCCAACACGTAAGCCCTCAGTGTCGCCAGTCTCTCCGTACGAAACTTGGTATCAATAAGATCCAGATGTGTTCCCACTACAATCACTGCAGAGTTAGGGGCTCGTGCCTGCAGCATACAGCACACAAGCAAT